TTCAAATACTTTTATTCAGCAAGGACACATTAAATGATCAAAAGCGATCAAAAGTTAAGACTGAAAAATATAATGCTACAAATTATTACTGTTTCAAATAAATGCTGTTATTTTGAACTTTCTATCCATCAAAAAATCTTTATAAAATGTATCACGGTCGCCACAAAAATATTAAGCAGCACAACTGTTTAAAACATTGATAATAATAAGAAATGTTTCTTGAGCAGCAAATTAGAATAATTTCTGAAGGATCATGTGACACTGAAACTGAAGTAATGATGGTGAAAATTCATAACAGCAATAAATTACATTTTAAAATACATTCAAATAGAAATCCTACCAATATTACTATTTTAATCGTATTTGTTATAAATGCAGCCCTACTGACCCCAAACTTTTCAACAGCAGTGTATATAAATCTTTACAATGTGAAACTGATTTTTTTTTTCTAATAAAGCTGGTTTACTTTCCTTTAATTGTAAGTGAACTGAATGTGTGTTTGTTTGGCAGTGTGAAAGGAGAGAAACCGGAATGGAAGTTCTATAATGTGCTGGAGAAAATTCTGTGCCGTAAAGAATCTACAGAACAGGAAGACACTATTACTGACGTCAGCATTCCAGAAGAATCCTCAGGACAGCAGGCAGAAGACACTAATTGGGATGTTCTCGGTCACGTCGGACTAGAGGGTACTCGTATTTTCTGGACATATTCTATGAACTATAAAAGACTTGATATATTGTTATTCAAATTTTCATGTACGCCCTCTCAAGGCACCAGGAATATCCCATGGACAGACCAGGAGACGCAAACCCTCATCAGGATCTGGGGAGAGGACAAAACCCAGCGAGAGCTGAGAGGGGTTCTCCAGAACGGACACATCTTTGCCATGATCTCAAAAAAGATGGCCGCTCACGGTTACATCCGAACAGCAGAGCAGTGTCAAAGTAGAGTGAAAAGACTGAAGCTGTGCTTCAAACAGTCTTACGAGAGTAAACAGTGAGCGCCCTAACATTTTTTGCATCGTCAAAAAAATTCAAACCCAACAAGCAAACCCATCTGACATGAGAATCTAGTGAACATAATTAATTGCACTGTTGTATTATTTTGAATAACTGAAAGTGCTATTCTTGATTCTTTTTGCAGCACTGAGGGCAAAGAACATGTAGAATTTAAATTCTATAAACAGATGGAGAGAATTATGGCTAATGAAGAGCCATGCTCATCACAGATCAAAGAGGAGGACTCAACGGACATTGAATATCAGGTGTACAAGTACCAGAAAATAGGTTTGTTCCTGTCATCCATGTAAACTATTTTGTATTACGCTACTGTACAAAAGTTTGAGGTCAAATTTTGAAAGAAATGTATGATTTTAATTATAAAGAATGCATTAAATCAAAAGTGACAGTAAATACATTTATAATACAAAAGATTTCTGTTTCAAATAAATGTGATTCTTATAGACTTTATATTTATCAAAAATCTTGAAAAAGTCTGTTTCCACACAAATCTGAAGCAGCACAAGTGTTTTCAACATTGGTAATAATAAGAAATATTTCTTGAGCAGCACATTAGAATGATTTCTGAAGGATCATGTGACACTGAGAATGGAGTAATGATGCTGAAAATTCAGCTTTGCATCACAGGAATACATTGCATTTTAAAATATATTACAATAGAAAACAGTTTTTTTTAAATGGTAATAATATTTCACCGTTTTTACAGTATTTTTGATCAAAAACACTACTTTAAAAAATCATACCAACCCCAAACTTTTTTTAAATGAAACACAGAGGACATGCTGCATAAATTGGTCTTCTAGCCATTTCATGTGTCATGTATGGGGTTTCATACATTTTTAAGCATGACGTAATTGTCCAAAAGTGTCTAATACTTTTTGGGGTCACTGTGTCATGTCCTCCTATCATCACCCAACACAGAAACAGCAATGAACTGCATGGACGATAGAAAGAAGGTCGCATGGTCCGATGCTGAGACAGTGATTCTCCTCCAGTTATGGGGCAATGAGCAAGTCCAGCAGAACCTTCAACGCTGCCCTCACAATGGACACATCTACTCCGAGATCTCAGAGAAACTGAATGCCCACGGATACCTGCGCTCCGCTGAGCAGTGCCACACCAGAATCAAACGACTCAAAATCAGCTATAGGCAGTGCAGGGACAGCTTGAGGTCAGTGAACGTATTCAACATGTTATGCAGCTTAAAATAAGATTGCAATCACATTAACACATTATTTATGAATATGGCTTGAGCACTAAATATAATCTTTAATGGTTTCTACATATCATTTCAGTGCATGTTTTTTCTGTGCAGTTCACCTGAAGCTGAACGTGTAGAATTCAAGTTCTATGATCTGATGGAAGATATTTTTCGAAGGAATGCTTCCTCCAAAGTGTCAGGAGATAACGAACCCAACAATAGCATCAAATCAGGTACTTTTATTAAACATCTAGTTAAGTGTGCCAGATCTGAAATGTGTATTCATTACTTTATGCTCAGGCCATCCAAGATGTTGATGAGTTTGTTTGTTCATGGAAACATTTGGAGAAATTTAGCATTACATCACTTGCTCATAAATGGATCCTCTGCAGTGAATGGGTGCCGTCAGAATGAGAGTTCAAAGAGCTGATAAACACATCACAATAATCTACAAAGCAATCCACACCACTCCAGTCCATCAATTAACATCATGTGAAGCGAAATGCTGCCGTAGAGTGGTGTGGATTACTTGTTGATTATTGTCATGTTTTTATCAGCTGTTTGGACTCTCATTCTGACGGCACCCATCACTGCAGAGGATCCATTGGTGAGCAAGTGATGTAATGCTACATTTCTCCAAATCTGTCTCATAATACATAAAATAAGGGTTATATATTACAGTATATTTGTTTTTGTAAAAAATTCAGTCCAAAAATCATTTTATAAATTGTAGTAATGGCTATTTTTGATACTCCAGTTAAAATAAAGTCTTTCCTTCTGTCAGACTCCCAGGATATCTGCGGCAGTTTAAACCAGACAACATCCTGGTCAGACTCTGAAACTGTAGCTCTGATAGACATATGGGTGGAAGATGAGGTGCAGGAAGCCCTGAGAGGATCCGACCATAACATCCACCTGTTTACTGATATAGCAGAGAGAATGAACAATCAGGGATTCTTAAAAACACCAGAGCAATGTAGATGGAAAATCAAAAACCTGACAAAGAATTTCCGACAGTGTTACGAAAGGAAAAAGTGAGATTATTTTTGCTTGTTGACACTGGCTTTAACTTTTCATCCAACTTATTTTCTTTTTATCTGAGGTTTAATAATTTCTCCATATTGTTCTCATCTAGATGTGGCATAGAGAACGTAGATTGCAAGTACTATGATAAACTGGAGCAGGTTCTGGGTGATGATGAGGCCTTTTCCATGGTTGTCTATGATAAAGATGCAGGTTTGTGACTTTGAAATTCATTCATTCATTTTGTTTTAGGTGAATCTCACATGTCACATTTCACCCCAAAATAAAAATAAATAAAATTTAGGACAATCAAGTCTCTTTTAGCTGTTTTACTTAAGATTTCTTGTTATAACTATTGATAATGATCATCATTACTGTAATTCTCCCTCAGAATACCAGGAGGCAGCCATGGTAGCCGTATCTGAATCCAGCAGGAAGATGACCTGGTCGGATCGGGAGACGCAGGCCTTGCTGGACATTTGGGGCGATGACCGTGTGCAGCACAGCCTCATGTCCTGCCCGAAAAACGGGCACATATACAGATATATTTCAAAAAGAATGATGGCACTGGGTTTCAACCGAACAGGCGTGCAGTGCCATTCACGTGTGAAAAGACTCAAGTCCCAGTTTTACTATGATGGGTGAGTGAGAACCAGACTCAGCAGGCTTCAATACTGGTGTTAAAGATGTTAAAGTCTGTTAATGCATTGATGACCAGTTCTTAACGGTTATGTTCAGAATACAATAATTGTGTACTGCTTTACTGCTCAGCAAACACTATAGGTCAAAAGTTTGGAATAATTAAGATTTCTCTTATCTCTTATGCTCAACAAAGCTGCATTTTTAAAATTAAAAATACAGTAAAAACAGTAATATTGTGGAATATTATTACAATTTCAAATAACTGTTTTCATAGTAATATATTTTTTTTAAATTTAATTTATTCTTGTGATGGTAAAGCTGAATTTTCACCATCATTACTTGAGTTTTCAGTGTCACATGATCCTCCAGAAATCATCCTAATATGCTGCTCAAGAAACATTTCTTTTTATTATAATAAAAACTTTTGTGGAAATCATGGACACATTTTTTCAGAATTCTTTTATAAATATAAATTCAAAAGAACAGCATTTATTTGAAACAGAAATCTTTTGCAATATAAAAGTCTTTACTGTCACTTTTGACCAGTTTAATTTGTCCTTGCTGAATAGAAGGGTTAATTTCTTTCTTTTTTTTTTAAATCTTACCCCAAACCTTTGACTGGTAGTGTATGACAGTTTCCACAAAAATATTAAGCAGCAAAACTGTTTTCAACATCATGTGACACTGGAGTAATGATGCTGAAAATTCAGCTTTCCATCACAGGAATAAATGACATTTTAAAATAAATTAAAAGGGAAAAGAGTTCTTTTAAATTGTAATATTTCACAATATTACTGTATTTCTAATCAAATAAATGCTGCCTCAGTAAGCATAAGGAACATCTTTCAAAAACATAAAAAATGTGGTTTATATGCTTAATATGTAATACAGTATGGTAACATGCTATTGCTATTCTGAGAATAAATGTGTAATGTTTTGAATTCTGTTTCCACCTTTTAATGTGTTTTTCAGCAGGGAGGAGTGTAAATTTTATGATCAGCTGGAACAGATTATTTTAAAGGACAGAACATCTGAAGGCCAGGACATCAGTGAGCTGGAATCCATAACGGATTCTGATTCAGGTTATCAATCTGAAAATTAGCCATTTCAGTATTTTATTTTTTTTATCTAACAGAGAAAAATATTCTTTCTTTATAACTGAGATGAGTTCTTCATGATATGAAAATGCTTGAATATAATTCATAAAGTTTTTCAGGCGATGCATTTGTACATATGAAATGTATTTGCATACCCAGACTCCCTAGCTCTCTCCAAACCTCTCACTGTGGACGGGCCGAAGCTGGCATGGGGTGACAGTGAGACACACACTCTTATATCCATCTGGAGGAGTGAAGCCATCCAGGAGAGGCTGAAAGGCTGCATCAAACGCAAACCTGTCTTTCAGCAGACTGCACTCGCCATGGCTGAGAAGGGCTACAGCAGGACAGACGAACAGTGTCGCTCCAGGATCAAAAGACTGAAGGCCAGTTACCGCCAGTGCCTTGACAATTACAGGTAGATACAACTTTGACCTCAAAAGCGGAGTATTTAAATATGCAAATTTAATATAATTTTTTTTTTTTTTGTCATCGCAACCCATAGAAATGAAGGGGAGCAGATGGAGGGGAAGTTCTTCAAACAGCTAAATAAAATATTTGAGAAATACCCTCTAGATGATGCCGAAACCACCATGGCTCAGGAGCCAGAGGCAATTGGGAGACAAAAACACTAGCAGGTCTGCAAAAGCACAGAGCTCAGGTGAATCTGAACTGTGAAACAGCTAAATAAAATATTTGAGAAATACCCTCTAGATGATGCCGAAACCACCATGGCTCAGGAGCCAGAGGCAATTGGGAGACAAAAACACTAGCAGGTCTGCAAAAGCACAGAGCTCAGGTGAATCTGAACTGTGAAAAATATATTTTTTTCTGATTTTAAAGGTGTGATTTCCACCAAGAAGAACAGCAAAAATTATGTGCATATATGACAGGGGCATCAAAATACAAATGGAGATTAAGGAGATTTTATTTTAACATAGAAAATGTATCTACGTCACCTTTAATGTCAAATGTTAATGCAAATGTACTAGGAAATATATGGTTGAAGACATAAAAACACTTGTTGGTAATCAGCCACACTTTGCTACTGCACTTTTCCAGTTTGATTACGCTACACTAGTCTGGAGGGGGAGCGAGACCCATATTCTCCTGGATATCTGGGCTGAGGATTATAAACCACATCTGACTGAGGTACTTTCTGTCATGCGGACTGTGGAGGATGGCAAAAGGACACACACAAACCTTTAATCGGCTGAATTCCAAGCATGAACTTGTCACTGAAAAATCCAACACTTCCACTATCAAGCAACAGAAATACAGAACCTTATTTGTTCAAGTTCTCTGTGCATCAAAATGCAGCACACTGGCACTGTATTAAGCACATTTCTGTAAATCTGAAAGAATTTGCATAATGGTGCTGTTGCCATGTGGTCTCACATTTTCACAGGGTCAAGTTTAACACTGAACTTTAATTTGTCTCAGCTGCTTGGCGATTTGCCTAGTAAATTGAGAACTTGCGTTAGTCCAGAAGCCAGAGGTGTACTGAATAATATGATCCTTACAACCATGGAACTGACTCAAATAACAGGAATTAGAAGAACGAAGTCTGAACTGAAGGAAAAGTCTTTCATTGTAACAAATTATAGAACATATTGGAATAACTGTGAGGAATTTAGTAAATCTTTTTCTTCCTGGTGCAAAATGATTTCTCCTCAGAGTGCATAATCTTTAAAAAAAAAAAAAAAACTTCCAGAAATTGGATTTATATTGTATATTTGTATTATAAAAGGAAACAAATTTGTGCTACATGGGTAAAAACACTGAAAAGAATTTCCTTTTTGTACATAAGCATTAGCTTTTCAAGTATATTTGCTAGATTTATCAAAATTGAATATATTCATTATACAAATGTAAGTTACTGTTACACAGGTTAATGCCAAAGCTCACTGCTCAAATCTCAATCTCTTTTTAAGAGTATCCAATGTGTATTGGCATGAGCCAAATTAAGGATGAATTTCACATCCAGTCCGAATCGGTACAGGATATTTGTGTACAAAAACACACTGCATTATTCAGTGTTGGTGGAAAAGTGGACAATATTTTTGTTAGTGAGTTTATCCAATATGCTTCTAAATTTGTGAGGTGGACAACAAAGTTTTTTGAGAGGTTTTAATCTCACATTGCTTTTGTTCTTAGGTATTTTACTGTGCAATAAACAGATTATTTATTGGTTTGTTTGTTGAAATGATTTGTCCAGCATGATTGAGATATCACAGTGACTAGGACAACAAGCCTTCTGGATTGAAGAAATTATTGTTGTAAACCTTAAGGAATAGTTCACCCAAAAATGAAAATTTGCTGAAAATGTACTCACCCTCAGGCCATCCAAAATGTAGATGAGCGTTTAGTTTTTTTCTTTCATTGGAACCAGTTTGGAGAAATTAGGCATTGCATCACTTACTCACCAATGGATCCTCTGCAGTGAATGGGTGCCATCAGAATGAGAGTCCAAACAGCTGATAAAAACATCACAATAATCCACACCACTCCAGTCCATCAATGTCTTGTGAAGCAAAAAATGTGTGTTTGTAAGAAACTAATCCATCAAGACATTTTTAACTTCACATTTAAATCTAATTTCACATTTAAAGGCTAAAATAGAAATCCTTTATCCATAATATTGCTGTCTCCACTGAAAAAGTAATCTCAACTGAATCAGTAATGTCAAAAATGTCTTTCCAATGAACAAGCAGAATTTCCATCAAGACACTTATTGATGGACTGGACTGTGGATTATTGTGATGTTTTTATCAGCTGTTTGGACTCTCATTCTGATGGCACCCATTCACTGCAGAGGATCCATTGGGGAGCAAATTTCTCCAAATCGGTTCCAAATTTCTCCAAAACTCAACTACATCTTGGATGGCCTGAGGGTAAATTTTGAACAAACTTTCAATTTCCAGTGAACTATTCCTTTAAATGCCACAAACTATGTAAAGTAAGAATTTATAAAGTATTTCCATGTGTAATTTCAATTATGAGTTGCATAAAGCATGGTTTGGAAAACTAAATTATATTACCTTTTAAAGTAATGACTAGATAATCACATGTCAGCTGATCATTATTAAACCGCAAGATCCCTACATTCAATTAAGGGCTTTTGGGTTCTGGTTTCATGCGGCTACGTGTTTGGTCATAGGTCCTTCTACGATTTCCTCGTTCGCCCAAGTGAGTTCTCTCATGCTTCTTAAGAGGCCCAGCGAACTTGAAGCTCCTCCCACAATGAGAGCACTGCCACGGCCGCTCGCCCGTGTGGCTGAGCATGTGGTTCTTCAGGTGAGACGAGTGCTTGTACGTCTTCCCACATCTTTCACAGGAGAACGGCCTCTCGCCCGTGTGCACGCGCTCATGTCTCTTCATGTTCCCGATCTGAGAGAAGGCTTTTCCACAAATCTTACAGCGGAACGGACGTTCTCCGGTGTGTATGCGCAAGTGGCACCTCAGCATCTCAGGTCCCGCAAATGTCTTATTACAAAGGGTGCACGGGATCTTGAGTCGGGGTCTCTCATGGTTGCGCTGGTGCTTTTTCAAGTCGAACATATAGACAAAGGACTTGCCACAGATGGAGCACAGATACTGGCGCTCACCTGCATGATAACCTTTGTGTCTTCGAAGGAGGCTGGCATAGATGAAACTCTTCCCGCATTGGTTACACTGGTACGAGCGCTCCATGGAGTGGTAGCGGACGTGAATGGACAGCTTAAATGCAGTCGGGAAGCTTTTGTCGCAGTGAGGACACTGGTGCAGGTTCTCTGAGGTGTGGCATTCACGGTGAATCTTCAAGTATGAGCCTTGGGAGAAGCTTTTACCACAGATGGTGCACTTGTATGGTTTCTCACCAGTGTGCACACGGATGTGCTTGATGAGGTCTGCTTTCTTGCGAAAGGTCTTGATGCACTGCATGCATTTGAAAGGTCTGGTGAGGGAGTGCGTTTTGATGTGATTGGTCAAGAAGCTGAGGCACCTGAAGCTTTTACCACAGTCTGAACACTGGAATGGCCGCTCACCCGTGTGAGTGCGCATGTGACTCCTCAGCAGGCATTCGAAGCGAAACTCTTTGTGACACTCGGGACAGCTGTGTCTTTTCTCCTCCTGCGTTGTCTGGGACTCAGAAAGAGTGGCCGCTGCCTTTTTGGAAACTGTGGCTCGAGGTGGACTGCTCTTTCTATGGATGATGGACTTCACAGACGGTGGTCTTTCTATGACAGGAACGTAGATGGTCTCCTCCCTCACAATCTCAACAGGAGTTGGAGGCAAAACTGGTAGAGAGATGCCCTTTCCAGTTAATTCTGAGATCCACTGCTCTAAACTGACTTGCCTCACACCAGACGTTTCCACCATCTCTGATTGCTCTAGGAACTGCAGTTGAGTCGCCTCCTCTCCCTCGTTCTCAAACTCTGACACCACCACGGTGGAGCCGTCCGTGGTCAGGTAGATCTGCTGGACTTCACAGACGCCTGAGTCTTTCTCTTCACAAAGTACCTCTTCTTGTTGTAAGCCTTCCTCTGCTTCTTCAGTGCCAGCTATTGCAGTGAACTCCTCACTGTCAGCTAAAGGCTCAGCCTCTTCTGTGTAACTCTGAGAAGGGCTCATTATGGCGATGGCCGCGTGATCGGATTCTGATAGGTTCTCTGTGCCTTCTGATTCGATGATAATCGTCTCTTGTGCAATGGAGGTGGGGGGCAAAGTTTCCTCATGTTCAATGGTAATGGCAGACGAGACAGTTTCTTGTGCGATTGAATGAGGCAAACAAACTACTTCAGCTGAAGAAGGAATGGACACTGTACAGACCAAAAGAGGGAAAAAAAAACCCTTATAAAATATTTAGGTTATTATAGTTGACTAAAACAATACCATACAAATATTTTCATTACTTAAAATAAAATAAACTTTAACTGAAATAAAGTATTAAAAAAAAAAAAAAACTTATTTCAGCTGGCAACATTACATTGTCATTTAGCTTAAACCTACAAACTAAAATAACAAAAAAAAAAAGACTTAAAAACTATACAGACATATTTAAAGAAACTAATAAAAACGAATAAAAATGACATGCACAACAAAATTTACTTTAAACAAATACTAAAACTTTAAAATTAAAACAACTATAAACTACAATAGTATCAATTGTACTAGGTCACATTTCACCACAAAATATAATAGTTATCCTTATTGTCATAATATAATGCCATAATGCAAAAAAAAAAAAAACTTAAGGGTCCTAATAAATAATACATTTTCTTTATTGAAATTGCTTAATAAATGTATAAAAAAATTTAACAAATTAAGCTTATTTTCAGGATGATATAGTGTTTTTTTTTTAAATCATTGCCTCATATTTCTTTCAATTTTTGGGGCAAAATATGACCCAGACATGTTTTGAAAGTTTCATATTAATTAAATATAAATTAAATGTCTCACTGCGTTTTAGTTATTCAACCCATGCAAACAAATATGGTAAAGAAGCAACAGTAAAGCTCACTTTCACTGATAACTCTCTGAGATTGCTCATTGTTTCTTGCGTGCAGTCTTTTGGTTTTGAAGTGCTGGAGAACATCCTTGATCTCAGCTGGATCTGAGAGTGGCTGCACTATCTCCTCCATCATCGAGAGGCCGCCACAAAGACGTGAGGCTGTCTGAGAAATTCAACATAAAATTTCAGATCAGATTCACCTTTAATTTTAAAATGTTTGGTTTTTTATTGTAGATGGACCGTTTACTTCATTTTTTTTTCAATGCATTGTGCAGTCTTTCATCGAGGACACACCTCTTTGAGGCTGGGCACTGGCAGCAGGTCTTCCACTCGAGACAGGAACTCCCATGCAAGGCTCTGTAATACTGCATCATATCCTGATCCATATTCTACAGGGAAGACATGCTGAAGACAAAGAAACAGTGGAGAAATATGGAAAAACATTTAACAATTTTCATACATGCTATAGATTCTCTTCACAGAAATGTGAATAGAAAAAAAGCTCTAAAAGACAAGAAAGAGGTGAGCAAATATAACCTGTATGAAATTCTCTTTCTTTTCTGCGTCCTCTAAAATGCTGTGCACCAATCTGATAAATTTGTTATTGATGATCTCACTTTCCACATCTTTACACTGCAACAAATTGAGAAAAAACAAAAAAAACAAGACACTGATAACTTGCTAAAACTGAATTTCTGTATATGGTTAGTGCAATTACATAAACAACATTAATTACTTTATGTGTGAGATTTCGAAGAGAATCCAGATGTGCTTGAATGATCCACAGATCTGGCATTTTATCTTTCAGACAAAGCTCTAATATCACCTAAAAGAAACAAAAACCCAAGTTACTTGTCTCAGACTGTGCAGTATTTCAAAAAATTATAATAAAATAAGTACATTAAATATTTTGCTTAATTATGACTACCTTTTTCCGCAGATGAAATATCAGTTTATTAACCAGACTTCGACTCATGATGTCTGGCACGGTCTCGGTCACCAGCACCACAAATTGCTCCAGCTTCCCATACTGTGTCACATTACGACGCTGAACCACCTGCCATAGAAATGCTGACATAAGCCTAAGAGGTGGCACAACCAGACGCAGTGCAGAGAGAGGGAGAGCTTGGGGGAGAAGAGGGAAAAAAACTGCAGATAAATATCAGAGTATAATATAAAAATATCTTAGTAATTCTGATAAACTTTATTAGGATGCATTAAATTGTAATTTAGATTTAAAAATGTAATTCTCGTTTTAACGAACTGAATGCACACACATCAATTTATAGGTAATACAATTTTTATAGACAATAACATTTTAGAAATGGAAAAAATCAGGCTTATAGTTGTGTTAACGCTAAACAAGTTAACCTGTAACAGGTGGAGTGTAAAATTTACATGGCTCAAAAATAATTTTATATATTGCACATTAACCTTTACATGCATGCGGAGAACTTTAACTACTCTTAAATATTAAACACAAAGCAAATTAAATGTTGTTTTAAGGAGTAATTTTAAGTAATAACATGAATAGAGTTCTAATCCAACTAGATTATAAATGTATTCTAACTGTCATTGTTTATCATGGACACTTTTTAGAAATGTTTTTCTAACAATACAGTTCCAATAATGGCAAAGTAAAGAACAAAATATGTTTTTTTTTTTTTTTTTACCGGGTCCTTTCTAAAAATAACATAACCAAATGTGTTTTGAGGTGTGTGTGTGTGAGAGCAACTTTAATAGGATTGGTTGTGCTAGCTTCACTCTCTTTGCATTTAGCTCACAAGCTAATTAAAACTCACCTGCCTCGCGACTCTCTACGTTAAGGAGTTCCATTATTTAAGGTTAGAATCAATCGATATTTATCTTTGAATCAAACTCTGAACGCATCGTGTCACAGAATTAAACCATAATAGCGGTTAAACGCACTGGCGAACGACTATCGTGAAGTTGACCGAAGCAACGAACAACAACGCTCAACCAGGACACCGGAAATAACCGGAAGTAGGTCTTTATTCCGCGCTTTTTTAACATGTTTGAAGGTGCACGACACCGCTTCAGGTCTGGCGGAGAACGGACGCGCTGTCACCTGTTGTAAAACAAAATGTCAATTTATATATTTGCAAGTGATTAAAGGATACATGGCATAACAGATAAGTAAAATCCATCTTTGGAGTGTGACAAAGTGCATAAGATAAATAGAAATGCAATTGAGTATTATGGAACATTTATTACATATATTATGGGGGAAAAACGTGGAATTTGTGCTATAAATTGTCGGAGGTTAACGTTAGAGAATTTGGTAACACTTTACTTGAAGGGGTGTGCATAAGACTGACATGACACCTTCATAATCATGACATGACACATGTCATGAATATGAAGGAGGTTTTATGCATGTTTATGACAACTGTCATTAAGTGTCATTCGCTCAGTTATGTTCATGATTATGTAGGTGTCATGTCATGATTATGAAGGTGTCATGTTAGTCTTATGCACACCCCTTCAAGTAAAGTGTAACCGAGAATTTATAGTGTGTCTTGATGATGTTTCGTCATCTTACCTGAGTACTGAGGCCTGTTGACTTTGTATTTTGCTTTTTTACATGGTTTGGATGAACTGGAGCACAACACAAGAAAAAGTGAAGGTATGTCAAACATCATTCTTTCTTTTTATGTTTGTGCTTAGATGCATATGAATACTTATTACAAATAATTTTAGAATTAAATTAAAATGAATTAATTGTTATGTATTCAAAAAAAATTTGACCTGATTGTGAAGGGCCAACAAGTCAACATCCATGTAAACTCGGTAACACTTTACAATAAGGTTCCATTAGTTATTGTTTGTTAATGTATTCACTAACATGAACAAACCATGAACAATACATTTATTACAGTATTTATGAATCTTTGTTAGTTAATGAAAATACAGTTGTTCATTGTTAGTTCATGTTAATTCACAGTGCATTGAAGGGTTAGTTCACCCAAAAATTTTAATTAGCCCACAAATTACTCACCCTCAAGTCATCCTAGGTGTATATGACTTTCTTCTTTCAGACGAATCCAGTCAGAGTTATATTAAAAATTGTCTTTGATCTTTCAA